TTCCCGAGAACATCACCTGGACCGTGTACTGCAGCGGTAGTGCTCGGAAGCTTGTCCTGCTTGCCGCCTTTGCCATCTTGTGTTTCAGGTGGAGGTGGTATTGCGGTGGCAGTGCTCGGAATGTTGTCCTGCTTGCCGCCTTTGCCATCTTGTGTTTCAGGTGGAGGTGGTATTGCGGGGGCAGTGCTCGGAATGTTGTCCTGTTTTCCGTCCTTTTCCTCTGAAGCTTCTCTGGCCCCTTTTCCTCCTTTATCGTCTTTTCCTTCCTTGATCTCTTTCCCGAGAACATCACCTGGAGCCAGTGTTACAGTAGTGCAAGTCTTAAAATCTTCTTTCGCATCCTTTTTTCCTGGTTTTTTACTGTCTTTATCTTCCTTACTCTTTTTATGAAGCACGTCGGTTGCTGTCTTTGCTACCTGGTCTTGTTTCACATCTTGTCCACCTCGTTTGACCGGAGTTGCTGCAGACGTGCTCGCAATATTGTCAGCTGCGCTTCCTTTCATTTCGGCAGTTGACGCAACCTGCAATGCGGCATACTTTTTATGTGGGAAAAAATTTGTGCTTTGTGTCTAATTTTTATGGTGTTCCTGCAGCTCAAGACACAGTTGCGCTTGCCTTCGAGAGCTTTTTACGTTAACAATTCGCACAGTCTGCTTCTTTGAAAATCTTAGATTCGAATGGGAATTAAGTCTTCTCAGCACGGGATTGTCTTTTCTTGTACTTACTTCAGTTTAGGTGAACTCACTCGACCCTATTTTTTTCCTCTCTGGGTTGCATTTTATGATGGGTTTCATATTCGTTGTATCCCAATAAAAACTTCTTCAAAGGCACTTCATGGCTCAAGTGAAGGTAAAAGTATCCGCGCATTATCTGGCCTGATCTGCAGCAGCGAAGAGTGTAATACTTTCATCAAGCACAAAGTGCGAAGTGAACTCGCTCGGAAAGCTTGTTGCAGCTGTTCGCGTATGGCTGCGTTTATACTTTGCGGCAGCGTAGCGTAGCGCTTCCAGCGTACGCCAGCGGCAGTGCCGGGGAGAGATGGATATCGATCTAGTCCGCTCCCAGCGTCACCAGCGTAACGCCAGCGTACGCCGGGTTTCTCCAGCGTTTCACCAGCGTTTTGCTGGCGTTTGCAGCGCAGAGGGAGTAGAGACCATGTGGCCGTAAGAGACGCGCAATCGTCTTGTTATTGTAGAACTATGTGGCCATCAGAGAGCGCGGAGTCGGTGTGTATAGTAGAGACTGAGGGCGAGTGAGAGACGCGCAACAATGTGTTTTTGTACCTCCAGCACTCCCATTAGTTTCTACTCCCCTGCCGCTGCAAACGCTGGTAAAAACGCTGCGAGAAACGCTGGCGTAACGCTAGCGTTACGTGTGACGCTGGGAACCGCTAGATCGAATATGCATCCTCTCCCGGCCTATGCCGTCACTTAGGCTCGTTTATACTTGCGGCAAGCGTAGCGTAGCGCTTCCAGCGTACGCCAGCGGAGTGCCGAAGAGTACGTGGATGCATATCGATCTAGCTTCACCAGCGTCACCAGCGGCACGCTGGCGTAGCGAGGGCACGGAAGCATAGCTATCGATCTAGTTCACCAGCGTTTCTCCAGCGTTTTCCAGCGCTTCCAGACGACGGACTAGAGAGGGGCTAGAGAGGCACTGGACGGAGGAGTCCAGTGCTCTCTAGCCCCTCTCTAGCCCCGTCGCTGGGAGCGCTGGGAAAACCCGTCGCTGGGAGCGCTGGGAAAACGCTGCAGAAACGCTGGTGAAGCTAGATCGATAGCTATGCTTCCCGTGCCCTCGCTACGCCATCGTGCGCTAGCCGTGCCGCTGGTGACGCTGGTGGAGCTAGATCGATATGCATCCTCTCTTCGGCACTGCCGCTGGCGTACGCTGGAAGCGCTACGCTACGCTGCCGCAAAGTATAAACGCAGCCTTACGGCGTGTACATCAGCGAATGACACACAAAACTGCCGCGTTCTTAGTGTCTGCAGCGTCGTGGGACGATTTGATGTGTTTGTTGTGCTTGCTACTAGCGTGTTGACTTTTGCTGACTGCGATCGTGCACATAATTTGTTCTGCTTCCCCTGGATATATTTATTTAAAAGCAAGTGCATTCGATAGCTACCCTTTCCCGAAGGTGAGCTGCATTTTGGCGCAACTCGAATTCACCAATCGCCAACCTTGCACGCATTGGTGCAATAATTCGTCGGTACGAATGTTCACTGCAGTCTAGATTTTGTTCGCGGAGTTTTCGCAAGCTATGTTACGAGCTTCGTTTCGAAGCTTTTTGTTCGTTTTTTCTTTATTATTGTTGAATGTTCTTTGATAAAGGATTATGCGAAGAAACGATTTGCGAGCCAGAAGATGTAGGCCGCAGGGTGCTGTCGACTGTAGATCGGAAAACCTCGTGCGCTGTACTCGTACTAGTACCGTACAACTGGGAAGAAGGTCTTCAGCGGGGTTCCCGGTGTTTCTGTTTTTTTTTCTTAGTAGAAAGTCGCTTACAATGTACTAAATTATGACTGAACGCCGCTACCAATGGTAATAAATAGCCAGATTTGCCTTCGATTCCGCGAACGTAAAGTGAAGCCCCATTGCTCATCTCCACACATATGTTACAGTGTCTTACATCAGCAATGTTCCGATTGTCTAAAAGTTGTGTGGCGTTTTGAAGCGTGTACACCATTGCTTTGACTGAAACCGTATTAGGGCGATAGACGCAAGGCCGATTATTACGAGCAAAAGATTAGTGAGAGTACTAAAATCTCGCTATCGTTAGCAAAACATAACCGAATCTCCGCATTCCTTCGCAGGGGCACTTATAGTGAACCCTCCTGTATTTGAAACTGAACCTATATTTGCAATTGAGCCTTGTAAACATAGAATGAGAATATTTCACTCACTTCCGAAGCGTGTGACTCCTCTGCTGCTTCTGGAACAGAGCGTTTTTTCCTGCCACCACCTTCGTCCGGCCTAAAGGACTTTTCAAACGATTTCGAGTATCTCACAATGAAAATTTCGCTCAGCTCGTTTGTGTGTCAGTATCAGAAGATTCGTAGCCGTAGCGCACGCTGTAGGAACAGCGCGTTCCAGTAACTTATAGTATACGGGCTGGACGTTAACAGTATTGGTGGTGACGATATGATAATAGCTGGTAAAAGCTGAGAAGAGGAGTATTCTGTACTCATGGTTAAAGCTTCTCGACAAATACATCATCCCTGCTATTTTGACTATTACAGAGTATGGAGTGGTACTAAAGTGCGTCGATTATTGGAGAATAGCTGGGGAAGGAATGTGTGGCGAAGCCGTGCCCGTCCGGCCAACTTGGGTCGTATCACAGGAGGAGCAGCACTGGCATCAGCCGCTGAGCCGACTAGAATCTAATATCTATGACGACCGGTGGTTAAGAGTACGGCAGAATAGCGCTAAAACACACTAGGAATAAGTACATCGTGCGCTCCGCCCACTGGGTGCGGGTTACAACACACCACAGACACACTCAACTCTTGCCATATATCCAACAGTTGAGGTCCTGCATCTCCGCTTACATGTTGACGGTGTCTAGACCGCTCTGAAACCGTTTTGCAGATTTTTTTTGTCTGGCTCAGCCCACCTCGGGCTGGCCCTGTCCACAACATTTATGCCCCACATTTCTCGACCAACTCAATTTGTTCCGGTCTTTGAAGTGCTCTGGGACCGTTATACAGAATTTTTCGTCTGACTCCGCCCACCTTAAGTACGCCCCACCCATTTTGGATGTGTCTCCCACAGTCGGTCTGGCAACTCCTTGCTAACCTCATTCCATTTTTTTTTCTTTGAGCTGCTCCGGAAGCATATGAACGTTTGTGTGCGGAACGCCAAACTTTCGGTAAGTGAACCGCTCACTGTGGGCAGGGCTTCGCATAGGTCAAGTGTGCTTTGTATTTCTTGTCCCTGCCCTACCTATCCCCACATTGACCCGACCACTCCAAGTCGTTCTTCAGATCGGACCGAATTTCCGGACAGACAAACAAACAAACTGTTTATAGGCAGTGATATAGTGATCACCAAGATCGATCAGTTTGGCTACGCGCACTTCTGCGCGCATGGTTCAGTCTGTGGCCTTAATCACTGACAAGGTCTGTGAGCTGACCCCTAACTCTTGGCCTGACTTCCATGTATCAAAATAGGGTCCTTTTCTTCATCTTTCTCCTCGCTGATGAACATCTGCCAATGGCGCTTATCACACTTCTAAGAACACTCACTATTCGTTAGCAATACAGCCTAGCTGCCGAAAATTTGCCTTCACTTCCTCTAACTCTCGCTCGTGCTATGAAGTTGCTGAACCTCCCCTCCTCACCTCTCCTATGATATCATCAGCAATTCTCACTTCCTGCCGCCTATCAATGACGGTTGCTTCGAGTCCTCGTATCACTTGGAATCAACGTTCCAACGTTGTTGCGACGCGGGATACAAACTTGGTGACCCTCTCCTTTTAAGGTCTCCGTAAGGTCTCAGGTCAGCCCTTGTCAGCTGTGATCGCTTCCTGCCACACACCAACGATGTTCACTACCAGCCCCCTATATAGCTTACCAATTTGAACTCTGCGACTAAATCAAAACAAGTTATAAATTTTCGAAAAATTTTCGAAACACACACCCATCAACAGACAAACTTAGCGACTTATCATTTTCACTTCAAATTCATCAATTTTCAAAGCAAATTCACCACACCAAATTCACCCCATTTTCAAACCAAATTCACCCCTTTTCAAACCAAATCGAATTTACCATACCTATTAGGCCGCGCAATTCATCAACCAGATCACGCCAGACACACTGGATGCGGACGCGGACAAAGATTTTCAAATATTGGTTTATAACTTCTGCTTATGGGACTTTTCTTGTGCTGTTTCCCACAAACACTTTGACTGAAAACGACTGGACATCGACACATGGCCGACTCCACTCATTCTCTAAAGGGTTTGGCAATCTAGGCTCCGCCCCCTTGACTACGCCCACCTACTTTTACGGAATTTCAATATTTTTTCAAAATTTTTGCATTATCGGACCGCTTCGTGAAGCCCCGCCCACTTGGAAGAAGCCTCGCCCACTTTTCGAAAAATGGCGCAAATTGGCAGTATAGGGTCTTGGCTTTCGTGCTAGGGTCTCGTTCGTCACTCGGAACAAGAAAACAGGCAAAGTTTGTTGAAGTTTTGTCTTGCTCTGAAGTCTTGCTGAATTGTGCTGCCCTCATTCCAAGTCATTCTAAAATCGCACGTTATTCCAAACAATTTTTCCCAATACATAATGAAAAGCAACAATTATCTGCTATATATAATCCGCTAAGTTTGTTTGTTGGTGTGATTGTGTGTATGTGCACATGCTTGCATGTGCATTTGACCGGAAATTTATAACTTCCTTCAAATCAGTCGTAGAGAGTTCAAAATGATAAGTGATGTAGGGAGTTGGGCAGGAACACTATTGGTATGTGGCAAGAAGTGATAAGTGCTGATAAGATACCGTGGGGGTCTCAGATGGATACAGTCACCAAATTTTTGACGCTGTTCACAGAAACTATAGAACTGGTTCCAAGAACGAAGATGCGAGACAGGATGGGAACATTATTGGGTGGTGGCAAGAATGGATAACAGATAAAATACCATAAAGGAAAGAAAGAGATGGTCACCAACTTCCTACCATGAGTCGCAGTGACGGTAGGACGTCGGTTGCAAGCAGTGATATAGAAGGCAGATGGGAATGGTGGGTCTTACAAGGGAGGTCGTTCAGGGCGTGCCTCGCTTTTTCTAAACGGTTCAGTGCACTTTGTAGGGCCTTGCCCATGAACCGTAAAAACGGGCTTCGTTTTTGCTGTGCGGCCCCTGGAATGCCGAAAAAGGAGCGAAATTAATATGGAAACTGATTGTTTTTGACCCTCTACGAGCTGTAAACCGCTTGAAACTTTGACCAGTTGGAGGGACCTGAATGGAGGGACCCTATAAAGGTGCTATCGGAATCGAAGAGAAAAGTAGGTGGGGGGATTACTTGTGGCACGTAATCAAGCGTGAACGGCTTCATGGAATGGTTTCTTGAACGATCGGAGGAACGTTCAGCATCAACGATCGGATGGCCTAGTGGATGGCGTGAAGGAATATGTCGAATATGTCTGTGCGTAAGTATGCATTCGATAACTGCCATTTATGTGCACATTTCGAATGGGAACACTCCATGAATCAGTGCTATTCAATTATTACAGGTTTTACATACCATTAAGCAAGACCGTAATTGAAAGTTGACCTTTATAGGTCAGACCATGCCCGAATCACGAATATGGAACTTATTTGTAGCTACGGTATCATTTATCGCTAATATCGAGTGTCATGTTTCTCCCAATGAATGCGTTTGCTACATACAAGGGATGTGTAGCGCTACCCAGGCGCCAAATTACGTCGGCGCCGAAAAACAGTGTGGAAATTATGATCAGGGCCATCGATTACCCCTGTAAACAGTCCTTCGGCCTAAAAATTTTTTTTTCGACTTTTTGGGTATGTACGTTGGGTTGTGCTCGACAGTCTTTCCATAGAAGACTACAGTGCCTCGCCATAGGGGCCCCCTATTTTATTAATATGTAACAATGCCGATGAAATACATGCAAAGAGGAAGGAAAGGGAGGCATTCCACCAGGTTTGCTGTCTTGCCCGGCGGCCTGCGACGTCGTCGTTTCGTCATCGCCTTTACGAAGATGGGATACTTCGGTTACTACTGCCGACCATGGTCCTCCAAAACCCAACAAATCGAAAAAAATTTTCCCGGCTGGAAGTTCGTCCACAAGGGTAATCGACGGTCCTGATTACGGTTTTGAAACTTATTTTCGAGGTCGACGCAATTTGGCGCCAGTATAGCGCTTAACGTCCCTCGCATGGGGGTACATAGACGTAACTTTCACTCCTTTTTTGGCATTCCAGGAGCCGCACAGCAAAAACGAAGCCCACTTTTACGTTCATGGGCGAGGTCCTACAAAGTGCAATAAACCGTTTTGAAAAAGCTTGGCACGCCCTGAACGACCTTCCTGGTTAGAGGAAGCCCTATAATCAATGGGCAAAGGCTCAGTGAGCCAAAATTGTTTCTATTCCTTAGCAAGACAGTCGAAGTTGATTCTATCGCTAAACTAGGGTTTCAGTCAAAAGTAAACGCCTAGAGTTAATTGTCAATAAGCAATGATAAGAGCCAGCAGCAGACGGTCATGCGAAAGCTGCTGAACGGAAGCGCTAGGATGTGACTAACTTTTACTACGATTTCGACATTGTTACCACCGACATTCTTTCAACCGTTAAGCTGTCCTATTTCCAACGATTGGTACATACAAGGAACTCATTTGAAAGGAGAAATATGATGAAATGGGCCGTATTCCAAGACATGAAATCAAGCCGAGTGTTAGCGGTCAGCACAGAAATCCCGTCAGTGGTCAGTACAATGGGTTTGACCATGCGCGCAGTAGTGCGCGTCAGCCAAACTGGTCTTAAATAATTAATGTGGCCTTGAGCAATACTTAGTTCAGCCTGAAAATAGCCTCATAACAGTAGGACAAATCACTACAGTTGTTCGTCATCAGTCCAAGCAAAATATCTTCCAAAATGTCGAAGTGTAAAGCTATGGATTCCAAAGGCTTAGTGCACAGACCACCCTTCCTCCAAATTTGCGCCAGCAAACTCTGTGTCTCTACCTCTTCGGGGATCCCCTCGAGTATAGCATACGGCCTGTATAGGAGACGTTCCTCTGTGGTGTGTTCCTCTGGGGGGGGGACGCTTTCTCTCGAGTGGAAGTATAGCATACGGCCCGAGAAGAGCGGACCCTGCCACCCGCAACAAATGCTGAAGAATAAGAAGAAGAAGAGAATGACTTATGGGCCAGTGTACAATCTGGTGCCTTTGTCACAACAGTTGCGAAGGAGTTTTGTATGAGGTTCGAAAATAATCTGCACAATTTGTCTCACTTACGGCTTTTCAGGTCTTGGAGAGCGCTTGCTACTTTTAAGCGTATCCATCTCATTCTTGTTAAATATGCGACTTTCTTGTGCATTCTAGGAGAAGTCCGATTATGTGTGGATCACATGCGTGAAGTGTTTGAGCTTCTACTATACTAAACTACATGCTCAGATTTGGTTTCTCAACATCACCAACCTTTCCGTATATCAATTCTCTAATTTTATCGATCAATCTGACGGGTTCAACAAAGAGCAGTAGTGCGAGTAATAGCTTGAAATCGTAGTACAATGGAATTTTTTCGAGTGTCTTATCGCATATAGTTAGAATTCCGAATAGTACCCTGGAATTACATTTTTTATTTTCTAAATTGTTTTATTCTTATTTACACCCACTCAAAGACTTTCGTTATGAAGAGTATCACTGTGCTGGTAGGAAGTCCTGTCAATGGCAAAAAGTGGAAAGCTTTCGATCGTTGATCGGTACCAATGATATATCATGTTATAGAAGTTAACCACAATAACAACCTCTTCGCCAGGGCATGTGAAGGCAGGGAAGGACATCTTCCTATATATACTCGACCATGTACGTGCGTGCGTGCATGCATGCGTGGCTTGTGTGCGTGTGTGTGCGTCTGTCTTTTGTCACGAAATTCATAGCACTTTAAGAAGAATTTGGAGGGGTCGGGTTATGGTGGGGATGGGTAGAGCATTGGACAAAACCCAAATAGCGCCCATGACCCATGGTTAGCCCCGCCCACAGTGGTCGGGGCATGCGTCGAAAGTTAGCGATGTCACCGAAAAAAAGTCACAATTCGGTTCCAGAGCAGTCCTGAGATGAGAGAACAGTGCAATGAAGTTAACAAAGGGCTGACCGACCAAATAGAGGAGGCACACCCGAAATGGGCGGGGCATACTTGAGTTGGGCGGCGTCTTCGCATGTCACTGAAAAAAAACCATAACTCGGCTACAAGGCACCTCGGAGACGGGAACAAGTGGAAAAGGTACAGGAAATAGAGGAGACACACCCAAAATGGGCGGGAAGTACTTGAGACGGGCAGCGCTAACAAAGGTCGTTAACTCGGTCCCCGAAAAAGCTCAGGGATCGCAGAAAAGTTCATGACGAAAATGAACATCTGACAAGAGTTCACTATGTTTGCGGCGTAATGAGGCCCGTCAGCAGTAGACGGGTCGTGCATTTCAACACGTACCAGTTAGTCTTCGTAGTTTTCCCGAAGCACTACGACGACGCAAAAAAAGTGGATTATGGTCTCCAAGTAATTACATGTCGGAATGTGTGAGGCACCCTCGTAGTGGGCGGAGCGTGCGCCGAGTTGGGTGGAGCCGAGTTTGAAAAGTTGGTAAAACAGTTCCAGAGCACTCCAGACACCAGGAAAAAGTAGCTTAAGATCCGCGGAGGTCATCGGTTGAGGAGCGTGAGGCATACGGGACGGGGTGTGCGGCGAGGTGGGCGGACCAAACAGTTCCAGAACACTGGACGCCAGAAAGAAGTAGCGAGGGGTCGTCGGTTGAGAAGCGCGAGGCATACGTTGTGGGCGGAGCTTGCCCGGAGGTGGGTGAAGCAAATTGAAAAATTCCTATAAACGGTTCCAGATTATACCAGACACGAAAAATAGATCGAGGGGTCACCGGTTCACAAGTGTGACGCATACCCGTTGTGGGTGGAGCGTGCGTCGAGGTGGACGGGGTTGGTCTTAAGAATTTTTCAAGCGGTTCTAGAGCACTGCATGCACTCTAGACCTCTGTGCTACGGCTCGGCCTTGGGCCTGGCTCCATCGCGCCTACTTGCATTCGTAGCATCGACTGCTCGACTAATAAACGACTTTTCTCTCATCTGTCCACTGATCAACGCTCCTTACCACCATTCCACACAGCGTAATAGTGTTGAAAATAGCAGATATCATATGGAATATGGACATGCTATTGGTCAAAAAATGGTGACCATCTGTTCAAATAAGAGAAAAGCCGGATATGAGGTGGGTATTGAAATGTTTGGAATGAGGTAAGCGCGACGGAGCAGCGCTCGCTCGGCGAAGCAGTGTTGTATCTCAGAAGGAGGCGCGCCGGCTGTTTATATTATATTGGCGGTTCTTTTTAGACAAACACAAATATGAATAAAGTACCACGAATTCGTTGGGTTCGGGACAAACCCCGAACCCAACGAATTCGTGGTACTTTATTCATGCTCAAGCAGTCCGGTCTGCAGTCTCAGAGACTGCCTCATTACCGTGACTCCATAGTTAAAGACACATGATACGTTCACACACTCCAAGGGTGTATGTGACTATCTCCCCCAGCTGTCGATGTGTTGTGGTTTCAACGCCCGAAACCGCACGGGTTAGAGTACAGGGCCGTGGGGAAGTCTAGTTCGTTCATGCTCCGCCTACCACTTATGCTAACAGCCGTTACGCGCGGCGCGTATCGCGTGCGGCTCTCTTGGCACTTTGCCAGGTCCTGCTGCTTTGAAATGCAATTAGGACACAGTCTTCTGGCGCGGATAATATTTTAGGTGCTGCAAAATGAGAATCGAAGATGATGAAAGGGCTAGAACTCAAGAGCAATTGTGCTACTTCTGCAACATCATTCAGAGGCAGCGCATTCCCACAGAACATCCTGCTGTACATAATCCGCTAAGTATGTCTGTCAGTGTGTGTGTTTGTGTGTGTGTGTGTGTGTGTGGTGGGCGTCCGTACTGTTTGCGCAGGGAAACTCATAGCGCCCGTTCGCAGCAGGCTGTAGAAATTTTTTCCAAGCAGTGATATAAGAGGGCTGTGACAGGGAACATTAGCTGAATGGGGGTAGGAGAGTGATTATGCAGCTGATTAAGATCGATAAGAGGCGTCAGAAGCGGTGAGCGGTCACCGGAGTCCATAGTGGGGGAGCACTCCACCTTGGGGGTGTCGCCAGCAGTGGGGCGGTTTGTTCCATAGGTAATGACTAATAGGGTGTGGGAACAGGCGGCATTGGTTATTGTGGGGTGGACAAGAAGGCGGCTAGCAGCTTTGATAAGAATTTGAGGGAGTCAAAATGGTAAATGGTCATCCAAATTGATACTGCGGGACACAGCATTCAGCTAGGTTCGCGTTGAATTTCAGAAATGATAGTTGGTGGTCCAGATGGAGACACTCGGAGCGCAGGTCGTCAGGTGCTTCGGTAGGCGGTGATTTAAGGAAGCGTTGCCGTTGTTGTTGCTGTCAAAGTGCGGAGCCTTTAACATCTGCCAATTATAGAGCTTTTAGTAATAGGGGACAGTCGATGACGGGTGACAAGCAATCTTATCAGTTGCATAAGAATAATAAGAGGCCATTCTCATCACATCTCATTATCACTTGTTCTTTTGTATCTCGCCGGTGGGAGCCAGTGTAGCGTCATGGGGGCCGTTTGAGTGCCTTCTGGTCTGGGAGTGTCTCTGCCAAGATTGAAGGGTTCAGTGTGGCAAACTTTTGCCTTTAGCTCAATCACGTTGACTGTCCGCTGAGTAGCACTTAGAAAACGATACGTCAATCCCAGCTGGATGATGTGTCGAACGAGGCGGGGAGGGGGGTAACGTAGTTGCCTTGAAGTATCAGGAATCGCAAGGGAAATTCGAGGTAGAAGCCAAACAAAAGCCTCGGAAATAGTGCCTGATTTTCATGTGTTCAATCTAGCCATTTTTTAAGCTTTTAAAACCTTTCAAATCTACTGATGCAGAACAGAATACAAGGTGTTGTTAGTAGCCGTTAACTACTAATTACCTTCAGGCGAGCGAATTGCGTGCCTAGATTGAACAAGGAAGCGCTTTCACTCGGCTAGTGCATTTGCGTTGCAGGTAATGGAACAAGGGAATTGTTCCTTTACTGTAGGGCCTATTGCGATATAATGCTCTTGTATCTGGCTGAGCTACACATTGTATCTTATATCGTGCTATAAAATTTATGTATGCGTAAATGGGCGTTTGGCGGCGCACGGACAACCAATGCTGCAAATAGAGGCATTGGTGCTAAGTAGTGCACGGGATGCACTGATGCCCTCGCTGTATTTCCGTTCCGAAACGGCGCTAAGCATCTCCGCACCGTCGTTAGGTTAATAGCAGAGCAAAACCGCAATTTCATGATGTGAATATCATTTGAGGGTGTTGCTAATACCGCGGCAGAAGTCCGAATAGAAGCGTGGCTGAAGATGACAAAGGTAGGAGAGTGTAAACAAGGATGTAGATGCAATTAAGTACATAGAGGTTGAAAACAAATAAGGAAATCGCCATATTGATTAAAATTGCGTGTTCATTCCTTGTGATCCGCTCGAATGCGGTCGCAATGCCCAATAGAAATTAGTTTAACTAATAGTGGGACGCTTAGGCCGTTTTCTGTCTCTGAAATATTTGTGGATAATGCCGCGCTCCCGAGGGATATTGCAGGGGCAGACAGTTCTTGCTGCTTGCTTGAGTTCTGGCCCCGTTTTCGTCATCTCATCTTCAGTTTTATTTTAATTGCTTCTCGCACACATTCTGAAATACCGCCACCTAATATCCAACTTTTCTTTTTATCGTGAGACAGATAGGTCAACCCTGTCCTTTCGACGCAGTAGTCGATCATCACCTCTCTAATTTTCGTCGCAGCCGATCTACAGATGCTTAATGGAATGGTGGTTAGCGGCGAGCGTTGATCTAACGTGGAAGATTGCATGAAAAAAGCGCGGGTAATCAGTCGTGGATTCGATATATGAAAAGGCATGCAGGCAACGATGGAGCACGCGCTTGCAAGGTCAGGGCGTATCACAGAGAGGTCTAGACGTGCTCTGGGAGCCGCCTCTACGAAATTTTGAGGTCTGGCCGCCCCGACCTCGCCGCGCGCATTCCGAGCCACAACGGGTGTGCCTCACAGCTTTGGAGCTGTAACCGCCTGGTAATCTAACCTGATTTCCCCGATGTCTGGAATCGCTTCTGTAAAACGCGCTTTTAAGAAATTCTTTATTACTTGGCTCCGACGGCACACTCGGCGCACCGCTCCGCCCCCAGGTGATCGCCTTGGGGGCCATAGTTCACTCTTTTGCGGTTCCGTCGGTAGTGCTCTAGGACGCCGACTGGCGATTGTTTGGAAATGGTGGCCCTCGTGTTTAGAGCAGCATCGCCCACTGTGAGCTTGTCTCAGCACGCCGCAAACATTCCGTTTTGCCAAATGATCATCATCGTCACGGACTTTTCTGCGATCTCTAAACTTTTTCAGGAACCGAGTCACCAACCTTTGTAGGAAGCACCGCCCACCCCGGTACGCCCTGTCCATTTCGGGTGTGTCTGCTCCATTTGGTCTACTTACCCAATAGTAACATTATTCCACTTTTTCCCGTCTCCGAGCTGCTTTGTATACAGTTTGTATGGTTTTTTTTCAGTATCATCGGAAGCGCTGCCCATCTTAAGTACGCATTCCTGGTGTGTGTCCTCTATTTGGTCGATAGCCCTTTATTAACTTTATTGCACTGTTCTCCCATCTCGGGACTGCCCCTGGAACCGAGGCATTTTTTCAGTGACATCGCTAACTTTTGGCGCGCGCCCACTGCGTGCGGGGCTTGTCACGGGTGCTATTTACATCTTGTTCCGAGCCCCACCCACCCCTCATTACCCGACCCTCCCCTTGTTCTTCGGGTCGGACCGAGTTTTCAGACAGACAAACAAACAAGCAAACAGACGTAGCAACTTTTGTATAGTGGTTGATAATTGGAGAGCAAGTTTGGGTCACAGTCTCCCATTCTCCCTACTCTTTTGCCTCAATCCCCTTAGGCAGCGTTCATACTTCGAGACAGCAATCGCCTCCTCGCTCACGTGCCCGTTTGGGAGCGTTGTTGTGGGCAACAGTTGTTAATACAGCCATTGTTGATTGAGTTCTTTCGTATTCTGAAATCGCAATGACTTTCTCAGGCTTACGTATTTGGAAGTCTTGAAGTTCTGTGTCATTGTATTTGGCTTAGCGATGCAATAAGGGGGTGTTTTCAATCATCCATGAGTATGCGATCGGTGCAAAAACAACAGAACAGCTTCCCCTACCGTTGGTTTCCTTCTACCGCTAGGTAGCCCAAATCAAATGTTCTGAGTGCCAAAGTTATGTCGGGCAAACGCACTGATTCATTCCCTCTAACATAACCTTACATTACTTTGACACACGACCTTTGTGCTTCGTCTTCAGGTTCCTGGCGTATTTGAGTCATGCCATAGGTTCTCCCTCCATCTTTGATTGTGCTATCTGACTTTTTTATTTTCCGGGATTTTTGAAGTTTTTGTTTTCAGCAAGTATTACGTTCTGCGGGCGTGTTTTCAAATAACTTGGTACACAATATGTTTCATTTGTGGCTATGAATACATTTTGCACGAAAGTCGGCTCATTTAAAGCTTTTCAGGGTCCGTTTAACACGGGTGTTTTGGTCAAAGTTCAGCTAGCGGGAAGCGATTCAATCTTATATATTCATCAAATGATGCGAGTGAAGCTCTATTCATGGGATTATATAGCTCATCGCTGCGTAAAATAATGATGTGAGTACAACTTCCTTTTGAGCTGTGAACACTGGCGATCGTTATATGTTCGGATTGTTATATTTCTGATTATAACATGTATAGATCAGCAATAGGTTCAGTTACGGTTCCGGTACTTCAGAGCTGTGTCTGTGTTACCTACATTATCTAACAAAGCAGAACTTCCGATTTCTGATGTCAGAAATGCCGGCCAAGATGCAATTTGGACATTTCGGACATCCATCTTTTCGTAGGCTCCGCTGTTCAATTTTTTAGGTTCTCACATGTCTCCCAAATACTTTGAAGGCAGTAGGCACGGTGGTTTCCTACTCGGCCTAATATGCTAATAGGGCGCTATATAGTGGGGAAATGACGAAAGAACGGAGTGAAACGGTCAAAGTCCTGCGAAGAAAAAGCCTCCGTTCTCAGTGACTTAAAAATCGATTTCGGACGAGTTTCCCGTAGGCATCTTGCCAATCGTTGCTACCGAAGATACGTCATATGTGTACCCATGTATGTATGCATGCAGCATCACGGCCGCTTCATACCAATCCCTTCGCTTCATAATTGCTTAGCAAATGAATGAATACGAGCATCAGGAACGGTCGTCCATTTGTGGGCGGGCGGGCGTCGCGGGCGTTTGGGTCGGAGTGTTGTGGCTTGATAGGGCCCTTACAAGGGCACCTTCCTTGGGGATGCCGCTCTGCAGCGCCTGCTCAGGGTCGCCGAATTCCGTCCTGCCAGGCGTATTGATCCCAGTTGTCTTGGGAAATTCATCATGCCAACTACCTTTAACAACTGGCACAAGTCCAGATGACCAAACTTTTGAGCTTTCGCTTAAATTGCTGCTGTATTTTGCCGCATTTGTTTAATTCCTGCTTCTTCTGAAAATCATTCTCACCATTGTGGTGGCTACTACGCAGCCATTTGATAGCCAATGACTGACTGCCTCTCTCATGAAACAAGTGAAGATGGCCATCGGAAAGTGCGAGATGTTTTTGAGATAGTTTCACATTTTTTTCGATTCTGAATTTTGAATAAGTGGCGATTTTTGACTTCCTCTCCCGCAGCTTCTCTCTCACGATACGGGAATGAAGGTAGTTTAGCACAATGAGTTGTATATTCGGTAGTCTATCGAGTACCTTGGGCGGGTGCAAGTGCTCGTGTGGGATCTGCTAGCTCGAAAAAAACGGAGCTCTTCTTTCTCTCCGTTCCGTGGAACAGTATCAAGGTTATTCGTTAGATCTGATACCTATCTCCTGCAGAATGTGTCACATATTGTCATCATATTAATGACCATATCAAATACTATCCTGGCACTCCGCCACAGCCTTCTAGACGAGCGCCATCAAGAGATTTCTGGCACGCGACCGCGATGTGGTGCCTGAGATCAGCGAGGTGGTCAATTTCTCCGCCACCGTGACCACCCCATTGAACTCCGCCCGAGCCGAGTAATTGAGGAGTTTAGGCAGGTGACCTACTTGGACATTCTAGGTGCTCAGCGCCCTTCCATTCCAAGTAGGCGAGAGTTTTTCCAATGCCCTCCGATTCCATGTGGTGGCACCCAGTGCTGTAGCAGTACAAAGTTTTCAAGAAAGTACGGGCGACGACATGTGGGGAGGATATTCCTCTCGAGTTGCTCGAGCGCCAGCGCCCACCTTCAGTCCAGGTCCACGGAAAAAATATTGCCCTTTCCATTCCAGGTACATCCGGTTTATACCACCAACCCGCGCCTTGGCGACTGCGGTGAAGATGATGTCCTAGACCGCAGCGACGGTTGTCGAAGCTGCTCGATGTTGGAGATCATCCAGATCGAGAGTACTGGTCTCCTGGTAGCTATCCATGGGTAACTCCATACTAGAAGTGTCGCGGCTGTTTGGAGGTGACGTGAATTTCAAAGGTATTCTCCAGTCAGACTGCTACTGGAGGTGACTTCATATTTTGGTGTACACGAAGTTGATGGGCAAGAGCCAGCTCCTGCTTATCGAGGAACATCTTGGGTATCTTCCGCCCTGGTACTCGTATCCATTTCCTCTGTCTGGGCTGCGAAAGCTTTGCTGATGTGTGACTCGATCGAAGTAACTTTTTTATTCGCCCCCCCCCCCTTGTAGATTTCATGGAGTAATTTGATGCTATCCTGCAAAAAGAACGGTATTTGTGAAAAAGCATAGATATGAGACCAATATTGAGAAGGCTGCGAGAAACAATCCAACCCTTCTCTCAGCTTCTTGATTCAGACTATCAAGCTTGCAAGTGGTTTAGGAGTAGTAGGAGTAGTAGAGTGAATCTCTTCTCTGCTGAACATTTTTTCACCCGTAATAACTGTGGTTAGAGCCGCGATGTGCGACAGAATCTACAACAGTTTCTCTTTTTTTCTCGTTTTCTGCTTGTGAGGGACGTCATAAGTTTGCCGAAAATCGTAGAGATCCTTTTTCAACTGGTTATGAACAGCACTCTTCGAGAAAGTTGCAGAGACGGTCATTTCAACCAACCATGCTTTCGCGTGACACAGCCTCAGTTTTCCTTTATGATTTTCTTCAGAGACAGGAGTTCATCCTTGGCTCCTTCGCATTTTTCGCAAGGCGAAGAGTGTCGGTTCCAGAGGTGTTGAAATGACAACTGGTGGCTGACGGACACGGATTGTGTGACTTACTAAATGGCGGTGTGCTGTGGACAGGACTACAATTTTTTTCAATACTGACCACGGGAAATAAGAAGGCACATCTATGATCACAGATAGGTTATGTAAAAGAAGCGAAAACGACGAGAAAATCTGATTTGAACGCTTTTTGCGAACCTATGTTACAATAGTTATGACGCACCCTGTGGATGAAACGAAGTCAACAACAACTGTGCTTGCTGAGCTGATTGAGCGCCAATTACGAGCCTTGCTTAATTGGCGACTATTTCAGAGATCTGTGCCACATGTGTTCGTGTTTATGTTCATGTGTCGTGTATTCCAGATACTTTGGTTCCGAAATAAGCTTTTGCAGAATTTGAAGGCAGGTGTGCAGCAAATCGAAAAGGCGTTCAGGGTGGATACGCCTAGCAGGAGAAATACTGTGCCTGTTGCCTTTGTTCCCTGCGTGGTTTCCGATTGAACGCACCGTTACAGCGCCTAAGTAAGGTGCAACATGCCGACCCACACGCCCACTGCAAACGTCCGCCCACAAGTGGCCGTACCGTCACAAGAGTTGCTGCATGGGTATACGAATACACAAGTGAATACAGCCTTATCTACCAACGAGGCTGTTAGCACGATGCCCAAGTAAAACTCATGCAGTAGTGGTTCTTGAAAACTTGTCCAATGCCGTTCCGAAAAAAGGTGTTTTTCGCTGGCTTTTGGCCTCCTGGCTTCGATTTTTAGTCATTTTCCAGCTACATAGCATCCCTCCTACTATTTCAGAGTACCAACATATCGTGCCTTGTGCCTCTGAGGAACCACCTTCTTAGAGCTGAAGAGTTGATTGTATCTAGTTCTTATCAGAAAAAGAGAATCAGAACTTGATTAGGGGAAACCATGAGTAATGCAAGTTCAAGTCTCTTTTTGTTTTCGAAGATTTGGAGACGATTTAGAGACAGCATTAAGAGGAGTTGGTGCAATACTGTGAGCGCTTCATCACTTGAATACTTATGTTTTTCTTCTCTGTTTTTTTCGGGCCATCATATCATGGAAACAATAAGGTTCCCGTCTCACCAGTAAATGATCATATCATTTCTCGGTGCACATTCGTCCGGATATCCGAAGGTGAATATGAGTGGCATAGCGATAAGGATGGAGTTACAACAAATTCGTGCTTGTTTTGTGAGTGCACATATTAATCCAATAACAGCACCTATGACTATTGCGAGCTGAAATATCAGATAATTGTTAGGAGCCATACATCGCGTATATTTAACTCAACACCGCATTTGATGAGAATGTTTTTGTATTTTGATTGGATATACTCTTAATACGATGGTTACACCAGAAAAAAGTTGCTGTGGCTACGCACGATCTTCATATCGAGTGATTGACCAAGGGTAGAATCAGTGTCCTATGGATAGTATGATTTGTTTCCAGCCATCCTAAATGAGGTTGGCAGAACACCAGATAAAGGACAGCCACGCGAGGAAGCAGGTTTTGGAGAAGATTCAGACCAATGGATCACATTCACACGGTAACGAAGCTCACTGAAGGATTGCGAGAGCACAGGATGCTGTCATGTCTCACGTTCGTCGACTTGAAGAAGGCCTTCGACTTCGTTGGGATTTTCGATGGCCTGGGAAATCAAAGTGCTATTGCTCAGTACCAAAGATTTTTTGCGAGCTATAGCAACTTTCCTGCTGGGATCTCACCATTTCACGAAGAGTTCATCATCGAACTGAAGAGGAAGGGTTTTGTCAGGGCGACACCATCTTGTCCACATTCTTCAGCGCCTCTCGCGAGAACGTCATGCGTTAAATGGAGTGGAAAGACATGGGAGTGAAGGTTGACGGCCGGCAGCTACACCATCTGCGCTTTGCTGAAGACATCGTTGTGTTAACACCGAACCTCAAACGAGCGGAGTAAATGATGGCTGATTTCGACGGCGTGTGTAGGAAAATCGACTTGCAGCCGAACTGGCGAAGACGATGTTCATGAAGGACGGAATGATTTTGATGCCCCATTCTCGCTCAGTGGAGCGAACGCCCTGAACGTTTTATATCTACTTGGTTC